GCCATATTTGGGTCATCCATTTATCAGTTGATTTACAATTGAGTTGTTTCAACCTTTTGGCTGCTATGATAATGCTGCTCTGAGCATGCATGTCCAAGCTTTTGTATGAATATGTATAGATTCATATATGCATGTATTTTCTTGGGTATATACCCAGGAGTGGAATTGCTGGGACAAATGGTAACTCTTATGTCTAACTTTTTAAAGGACTTCAGAACTGTTTCCCAAACTGGCAGCACTATTTTACATTCTCATTCCCACCAATCATATAAGAAGGTATACTGTTTTTTGATAACATCTAAGAACCATAAGTAATAATGGCCATAGTAGTCCTCCATATTTGCTTTAAATGCTCACTATATGGGCAAACAGGTACACACACACACACACACACACACACACACATTTACACACACACACACAGAAAGAAAGAGAGATAAAGAGAGAGAAATAATTAGGTTTCTGCATTATGAGCTCCTGGAATGACATATCCACCTTATCTTTTGCTCCAGTACAAGGTATCCTTTGTTAGAAGGAAAATGTACCTGGATCTCATTTGAAATGGGAAGACATTTTGGCAAAATATCAAGAAGGGAGATTTATTGTTACATAAGAACTTTCCATTCTTTTCATGATACTTTACTCTTAACTCCCCACATGCTGTGCTGATTTGTGGTATCATTCACATTTCTACGGTAATCTATACCCCTTTTCTAAAGTGCAGAAAATAGCCAACCTCACCATCTTTTCTTGCTGACTAGCAAGAAGATATTGGGTCACATGCTTGTGTTGACTGATGCAAAAGTAACAGAGCCATTCTGAAGGGAAGAGACAAGTAAGTGACCCCAAATCTCCCAGTTGTCTATTAGTAAGAATGTGTGGTGAAGTTAGCCATGGACAGAATCAAATAGTTATCAAAGTAAGCAGATTGTTGGAATCATCAGGTCAGAAACCAGCTGTATGTATGACCTTAATCTTCAGAGCTCCAGCCTCCACAGACAGATACAAGATTCCCAATGACTCTGATGTAATGACAAGAACAGGAGAATGTTGGTGAGACCCTGACTCTCTGGCAAAGCCAACACAACCTTATCTTTTTTTTTTTTTTTGTGGAAAGTTTTATTTATTTATTTTATTTTTTAATTTTATTTTGTCAATATACAATGTAGTTAGTTACAACCTTATCTTTATAAGTACGTGTACAAGTAATGTTATAACATTGATGAGAAATGGAATAAATTTCTTCCTACTTAAGTGAAAGGGTTTGAGATTGGGTTTTTTTTGTTTGTTTGTTTTGTTTTGGCATATCTATGAATGTATAAAATAAAATTATGTGATTTGGAGGAGAAAGAATATGTCAAAAAGTAAGAACCCCCAATCTTTCCCTTAATAGCTGTCTGAGAGTTATACGTGTAGGTCCCTGTTGCAGGGGCCATGATGGGGTAGCCACAGATGGATATGGCTCCATTCAAAGTGGTTTTCAAAGTGGCCTGAGGACCAATCTCTGGGGGTCCCTGAGACTTTTTCAGGACAGTTGTGAGGTAAACCTATTTTCACAAAAATACTAAGAAAATATTTGCTCCTTTTACTCTCTTTCTCTCATAAGCACACAGTGGAGTTTTCCAGAGGCTACATAACATGTGATATCATGAAAGACTGAATGCAAAGCAGATGTGATAATCAAGCTTTCTTCTATTAAGCCAGATTTTAAAGAAATTTGCAAAAGTATTTAATAATGCTAGTCTTTTAAATATTTTTGGTTTTGGAAAATATAATTAATTTAATTTTTAATAACCCTGTGAACAAGAGCTCTTGGGATCCTCAGTAAAGAAGTCCTGAGACCAAAACATTTGAAGACTACTGATAAATATATAAATTTTAAAATTCTTTCTTCAAATGGGATTCCAGTATGTAAATAAGTGAATGAATGAAGCCAGGGTGGGAGCTCACAATCCTGCCCATCCACCTTCTCCCCACCTCTGAGGAGCTGCAAAGAGCCCTGGGCCACTGCACAGCTTCACCTGATCCCAGAGAGACAAAGTGACTCAACCAAGTGTCCTGACCCTAAAGATTGCTTCTGAGTTTTTCTCCCTTCAATGAAGGAAGCACACAATGCCCTGGCCAGTAGACTAACCACCTGCGACGGGGAGGGGCAGGATGCTACCTTATGCTCAGAGATGGACCACTCTGCTCCAGGCAGAGAAACTAGGGGAGCCACAAACCCAGCTCGTCCACTGACCTTTCCCAGAGTTGCACAGAATCTACTTCTGCACTGAAGGGCTACATGTCCTTGTGAAGCTGGCTACTTAAAAGCCATAGTACTGTATACCTCAAAATTGCCAAGAGAGTAGATTTTAGGTGGTGTCACCACAAAAACGCGGTGTGTATGTGAGGTAATGCATATGATAATTAGCTCAATTTAGTCATTACACAATGTATACATTTATCAAAACATCATATTTTATACCATATATATACAATTTTTATTTGTCAATTTAAAAATTGTTAATAGTTTAATTTTTTTTTAAAGCCAAAAGTGAATTCAAGATACAGGAAACTGATGCTTGGAAGCTCTTGTGACAGCTACAACTACACAGGATCTGAGTCTGGGAAGCTGGCATGCCCTAATTTATGGGCTCTTGAATAAGTGTCCCCAGACCTCCCAGGCGGACATGGGTATAACTTAGGGAATCTATGAACATAGATTTTTAAAAAATACTTTTTTTTTACTAATTTCTAACTGAAATTTAGCATTTCCTTAGATTTTTAATGCAGACAAAAGAGCACAGTAGTTTTAGCACTGTACAGGAGTTTGTCAAAATAGTCACAGGTATCTTCATATTTTCACATTAGGAAACTATAGTAGATATCTCACAATCTTATTTATGCTAACCATTGCATTTAAATTATGGCATTATTATTTCTACTGCTAGACCGTTTTAACTTGATAATAATAAAAAAATACCTTCGTGTTACTACATCAGATTTTTAAAACAAATTTGTATAAGTATATTTAATATAATACGTTTTCTTTAAAATAGTATGTGTCTTACTTGATGCACTTAAAAACATTGTTCTGAGGAGGGATTCCAGAGGTTTCCCCAGGTGTCATGGGACTCCCGACACTATGAATGTGCCCGTCCCCCCATGCCTCACTCAAGGTGGTGGCCATGAGGATTCACTAGCAGAAAGCTTCTCCTTGAGCACTTTCCAGCAACCAGAGCCAACTTCCGCCAATATATCCTTGACGGCAAGATAAAACATTTCTCAAATATAAAGTAAATCATGCTTTCATCCTCGTAGCCTTCCCAAGTTGATAATAGGAGAGTCAAGAAGTTTCCCATCTCTCTGATCAGAGGATTCCCATGGGTGCTTTCCCACATTTCACTAATTGCATAGATAGCTCAAGTCCTCATCTGAAAGCCCCTTATTCTGATAATTAGAACATTAAGCCAAATTAACAGTACTGTTTATCTGTAGCCTCACGCAGGTGCCCGCACATGGGTATGCAAGCAGAATGGCTTCCTCGTACACAAGGAAAGAAAAAGGCTTAGGGAAGTAGAAACATTCATTTCAAACACACTCATTTTAACTCATTTTCGAGTAATACTAAAAGTAAATATCTATGTTGAACATTAATATATAATTTCTTTATCCCAAATTTTAACCATCTAGTGTTTTAGCCAATAGTGTTGCAACTCCTATTTTTGTCAGAGTTAATATTTTACCAGATATGACAATGACTATGATGATGAAAACAACAGCAATGCAAGTGCACTTTTCCACAAACCCAAATCTTAAGAAAGATGCATTGCAGAGATGTAAGGAAAGGAGTGGATAATCATAAATCAGATCATTTCATCAGTGGATTACACTGCAGGAGCTCTGATGCCGAAGAGAACCAGGAAGACCAACTCACCAGAGTTTGCTGAACAAACAGAAGCCTTAACCTCAGAGATTACCCATGATTAAAATATCACAGAATTCAAAATCTCCTGCAAATTCGTTTTATTTTTCTGTGGCATATAAATTGCACATGGGGACTATAGTTATATACAGAGTAGATTTACACATTCTGAAGCATATTACTGTGAAAATAAATTATTTTTTACATCCATAATCCTTCCTTCAGTTTTGCCTGCTTAAAATCTCATCCTCACCCCTATTTCCATCTGCTAAGGATTTCCTCCAGCCCCTCTTCTCTCTTCCAAGTGAGTAGACTCCTTTCTCCTCCCCATGAGGCTACTATTTCTGACAATTTTCCATTATGTTCTTACTTGATCACTTGCTTTTCTTGGAGGTTTGTTAATTTATTTATTTATTTTTATCTAACACAAAATAATTGTACATATTTATGGGAGGTGGTGTAATATTCTGATACCTATACACAATATGTAATGATCAAATCAGGGTAATTATCATATTCGTGACTTGAAGCGTTTATCATTTATTTGTGTTGGGCAAAATCCTCTCAAAATCCTCTTTCTAGCTATTTGAAAATATGGAATAAATTATTGTTAACTAAAGTCACCCTACAGTGCTATAGAACACTAGGAATTTTTCCTCTTATTATTCTTTTGTATCCATTAATCAGCCTCTTCCTGTCCTCTCCTCTCCCTTACCCTTCCCAGACTATAGTTATGATCACTTTTATCCTCATCTTCTGTTTCCTTTGATCTTTCCTGTTAAAGAAAAATCTTTCCTTTCCTCGTGTCTGCCTTTTCTTCCCCTTATGTCATGCTCTCAGTATATTGTCCCTACAACCAACTAGCAGGTGTTCTTTCTGGATAGTTTCATGAGGTGTTGTTTAGCTTCAAAACCTGAAACTGTCATGGCAAGTTTTTCTTGTGTATTTAGCAAGAGAGTGGGGTCCATTCCATGATTACACACACACACACACACACACACACACACACGTCTTCATGACATGTTATATGAGGAACCATTGATACCATACTAATCACAGAGACATTAAGGTAACTCATAGATTTTTCACACATCCCTACTGCCTGTCCCACAGGGCTAAGATTTTACCTTTAGGATTCACAGACAAAACATATAATACAATTAATAAAATATTTTACACATGTATGAGCCAATTAGCAACACACAAAAATTTAATGAGCATGAAGTATCAGTAGCTTCAAAGTCATTCGCAGTAAGGATCTTGCTCTAAAACTTCACAGAGTGCTTCCCCATGTCAAAGAAATGAAATTATGTAGGCTGATGTCTTTGTCAGTCACATCAATGCTTAACACCTGTTGGGAATCAAAGGAAAAGTATTGGGCATCTGGTGTTTGAAATTTCCTGCAGGCACAAGTTCAACAAAACATATAACCTCCTAACACTTGCACAATTTGTTGCTTACTTGCCAGACTGCCCTCAAATTTTCAGGTGAGGAGGGTGTTTCCTAATTCCTTAGAGTACAAAGACTGTTCAGTGATGGAGACGGGATGATTGGAGAATGCAATACGCAACCGCTTCAGAAAAACAACTGTATGGGCAAATTAGAGAGAATGCCCTCTTTCCCATTCTTCTGAAGTGTGGATTTTCCATGAAGCCCTCTTACTGTTTTCCCCTTCTCCTATTTCCTCACAGCACCCTGATGATCACCCAGGAAGAGTCCAATATAACTTTCCAGAAGGTTTTGCTGTGGGTGCAGCATTAACTTGCGTACCAGTCCATGAACTGGTCAATGACAGAACTAGGCAGTCTTTCATAAGCTCTTGGTAAAGGTGGGGAAGTTGGTTGACAAGAAAACCACAAGCTTGAGGAAACGAATAAGAAAAAAAATACAGAACTAAATGAAAACTTTTCAAGCCTGAAACAAAAGTTTGCCTTTAGTTCTGTATTTTTTTTTTTAATTTTGTTGTTTCTTTTTTTTTTTTTTTTTTTTTTTTTTATGATGACTTTAGTAATCAGGAAGAAATAAAATAGTTTAATATTACTAAATATTTTTTTTTTTTATTTTTTTTTTTTTTTTTTTTTTTTTTTTTTTTTTTGGTATGATGACTTTAGTAATCAGGAAGAAATAAAATAGTTTAATATTACTAAATATTTTTAACATTAAAAAATAGTTTACTTTTTAAATTTTTACTATTACTACTAAAAATAGATTTAATGTTTTTTATTAAAAAATTAAAAAACTATTTTTTATTTGTAGGGTGGCTTTAGTAGTCAGGAAGGATTATGAAAGAAAAATAGTTTAGGAAAAAGCAAGAAGCACACAAGGAAGAAAAGGTACCATTTGCCATCAGCATAACAGGTCTTGGGACCACTGTACTACATGAATCTCAAAGTGCAGATTTTTCCACGTATTTAGCATGTATGAAATCAGAATGCATCTTATAATCAACAGCCTTAGGATTATTGTGAGCCAAGCAGCACTTATAACATAATTGCTATTGTCTGTGCATGTGTAACTTCACTGCTATTATGGTTATTAAGAATGAATAGACTGCAAGTGAATAGATTCACCATTTAAGCATTATTTTAGGAAAGAACATGTAGTAAGATCAAGAAAATGCTAGGATGAAATTTGTATAAAGCCCATTAGTGGCTTAGAAGAAAATCTCACAGACAGTAGTGGAAGAATTTTTTTGAAATGCTGAATCACCATCAACCTTGGTAGTGTGGAGGAAATATCTTAAGCAATTTGTGTCAGACACTTTTCTTTTAAATAAAAATAAATAAAAGAATAAAATATTTAAATAATAAAATGATAAAAATGTTTTAATGCACATTTAAATAATAAAATAAAATATGTAATACAAATTTAAGGTTAAGGTTCTAGTAATTCTAACCCTTCTTCACATTCAGGGTCTACTTCTTCTAAATTACTCTGATGTGTCTCCGCCCAACATTTTCCTCTGTATTGACACTTCAAATACTAAAATATTTAGATTAAAAATCTAAGTTTCAGAAGCTTTCTACTAGTTTAAAATAAAAAATTTGAGTAATAGGAAAGCGTTGTATCATAGTTTTATCAGCCTTTTTTCTTCCTTCATGGCGCATGAAATAATGGAGCAACATTTAACTGATGTTGTCTTATGTCTGATGAAATACGGAAGCTCCAGCTGTTTGGGAAGTTAATCTCTGAGGCAGAGGTGAAGAAGTAAAGACAATGTTTTACATAGGTTTGCAGACAAGAGGACAAAATTGGTAAGTAAGGATCCAGACCTTCGATTCCAAAGGAAAATAAAGCATGAATTTTCCCTTCATCTTCATACTGTCCCCTGCTGACAGTCTGAAAACAGAGGGATTCCTGAAGGGCTTTGCAGGAAAAGAGTGTCATTTGAAGGGAAACAGTCAGGCATTGCACTGGGCATGTCAGGGTGGGAAACACCATTTGGACTTTCCACGGGTCACAAACCTGTGTTGTAGAGTCATAGTTGGAAGTCAGCGTCATGACCGTGCCACTCACAGAGATGCTGACACTAGTACTGGGGACACTGTCCACTCCCCAGATGTCAATGTAGCCCAGTTTCAAAGGGTTTATATCGTTGATGTAATTGTTGAAAATTATATTACTCTGCATTGTATTCTGTCAAGTTGGAGATAAAATAGCAAAATTAGTTCAAATTCTTCCCAACCTCTTTTTAGGTACAAATGTAGATCATGAAGTAAGAGAACTTTGGAGTCACCATCTTGTGTCCTTGGGTAGTGAAAACCATGATTTCGGCACTCTGTCTCCTGCTCCAACTACCATTCATTTGCACTGACAAGCACTTGCAGGGTTTCTAGCATTTCTCTGAACTCTACAGGAGACACCGTCTCAACTACAAAGAAACTTATATTCTACAGTGTGGAATTCACAAAATCTGCAGACAATTCCAAGCAACATAGAAACAAGGGCAAGATAACATAGAAACAGTCTGTCCATCTGTGAAATAGTAAACTGAAATAAGTTACTGATGAGATGTGATAGGTTTAATCACAGAAAACTTCCCGGGAGCATAGTAAATCTCCACCTGAAGTCTGGAGAAAGGGAAGGATGTGAATTAGCAAGACGATTGCTGAAAGAATTCTAGGTAGTGTTTTCTACTCCTACAATATACAGCATTCTACTAAGACAGTAGAAGTCTATTCTCACACTCACCTGGCTGGCAGAAAAGGTGGCGAAGTAGTAGAGTCCTTTTTCATAGGTATCTGCAAACAAACGACAGATAAAATGTGACCCAGGCCTATGCTATAGAATTCTAATTGATGCTCGTCTTGGTTGAGAGGGCAGGAGTTATTTTTGTTTGGTTTATTTTATTTTTCTTCTTTACAGAGTTCCATTTTGTAATTTAAGTCCCCTTTGTAAGACTAATCTGACTCTGCACCCCACTCCAGTTTATGCAAAATGTTTGAAATGAGTGGTTATAGATGCACCTGTCTGACAGTCACTCATACAGCAGTTTCCTAGCAGCACTCTTAGGCTGCTTCTCTTGCTGTGGTCCACCATTCCCAACATCTTCCTAGTCATCTCAGAATTTCCAGATTCCTTCTGCTAGATGTGCATATATGTGCACATACACACGTACACGCACACATACACAAACACCAAGACTGGTATCTTGGTGGGTTTATCTTGAGAGGTATTTTGAGAGTTATTAGGCAACTTTTAAAATGTTATCTCCAGAGAACAAAGTAAACCAAGCAAAGACTTCTTTGTCCTTTATCCTTAATGTATGAAGTTCAGCTTATCCAGTGAAAGGTGACTAATCAGGGGACTTGTTTCAGGTATTCCCATTCCATGCACTACCCTCGTGACTTCTCACTAACTTACTTGCCATTCAGTCAGGAGCCATTGTCTATCCTCTAGAACTGTCTAAGACAGTAGCTGTCCTAGATAGTGGCTACTAGCAAAATGTAACTGTTTACATTTAACTTAATTAAAATTAAATAAAATTAAAAATTCACTTTCTCAGATGCACTGGTCAAATTTCAAGTACTCAATAGCCACATATACCTAATAACCACCATATTCAACAGCAGAAGATAAAGAACATCTCCCTCATTGCAGAAAGTCCTATCGGACAACAATGATGTGGAAATAGCTGATGAGACTTGAGCCCTCCTCCTGAGAGTTGACCAATTCCTGCAAACTCCTAAAGGAAAATTCCTCAAATATCCAGCGCCACTGATAGAGGCATTGCTCCTCTTATTGCAACAATAAACCATGTAATTAGGGAATGTGTCCTTGACCATAATTCCTATGAAAGTTTATCTCAGCTTTATGAAGCTTTTATATGAAACTTCCCACAGTGGATTGGGACGGTTGAGGAATGGAGAGAGATTCAACCTAGGCTTCATTTATATGAGGCATAAGGATCATATACAATATGGGTCCTACACTTAAAGTAACAAGTGACTATATTTAAAAATGCACAATTGTTTTAATATTGGAAAGGAAGAAGCAGGCCTGTAAGAGATCCAGGAACTTAGTCAATGGTGTTGACACGCATCCCAGGGAACCCTCCTCACCAATGCTTTCTCCGTCATCCCAGAAGAGCCAGCCCTCAGCAGATCCCTCATCATCCAAGGCAACCTTGAAGCCCATGAATTTCTGGCGACTGCAGTGGGGTGGGAGAGAGGCATTAGCTAAAAACAAAGTCACAGCCACAATCAAGAGTTTTCATAAAAACATAAAGGAGCAAAAGGAATAAAACTGGGTACTGGAGATAGGAACCAGACCCTACGATCAAGAGACTTGTGAGCTAGTTCTACTTCTATCATCATCTAGCTCTGACTTCGTGTCATGAATGAATGAATGAGTGAGTGAGTGAATCTAAGGGGAAGTTTCCCTTAAGGCTTTTAAAGAAACTACAAGAAAACCGGGTTCCTCTTTTCCCCTGTGTGAGGAAAATCCTGATGCTGTAATCTTTCTTCTTTCATTATCTAATTTCGAAAACATGAACCGTGAGCTCTGTTTACAAATGTCCTAAATTCTTCAGTTCCTATCTGCATCTTTGGAATCAAATGAGTAGGGGTCTAAGAATTTTAGGATTGGTACAAGACAGACATGGATTTTAGTCTCTATTCACCTCCTTACTTGCTGTGTGACTCCGAGTAGATCACTCAGCCTCTTGAAGCCTCTCTTTGCTCATCTGTGAAATGGGGACAATAACAGTCCCTACCTCACAGAGTTAATTTTTTTCCTTTTGTTAAAGAAAAATAGATAATCTCAACATAGAAATCTCTATATTATCACAGAACAAGCATTCCCTTGATGTTAATTATTACTAATTATTACATAGACTTAGGTCTAGAATTTTAAAATCTTTTATATGAAGGATCTCAGCGTAGGTATCAGTTGTAATATGACTTAAACAATTCCTCAGCAGTAGCTTTCTTAGGAAAGAGTCAATTACAATGCAGTTAGTGTTTCAAAACTATCAATGGATCACGGTTGCTCCTATGTTGATTTCCATTTCAAATGTCACATCTTAGACCTATCTTCTCACTCATTTAGATAGAAAATAATTGTTAATAATTGTTCACAGAGTGCAGAGTTTGAAAAAAAGGTTAAAATTCAAATAAGCAAGCAGACGAAAAATGAGTGTTACTTAGTGAAATTGCTTTTGGGCTCGAGAGTGATGCTCCTGTGCTGGTGGGCTTCATTACAAAGGGGTGAGCTAACTGGTATGTAAAGGAAAACACTAGTCCCTTCATTCACCTTAAGTGAGTGTTCAGTGCAGGCTCTTGCCAGGGCAGGATGTAGCCTCCACGGACATGAAGATTAATGTGGTCTAGAGGGGCTGGCAAGTTCTTCCACTCTTTCCTTGCATTAACATCCACACCCTGTGGGCCAGAAGAAGGTAAGAGATGCAGAAGAGAACACACACCTCCCTGAACACTGCACTTTGCCAGACATCTTGTCCACCCTCTGAACTTGCTGCCTGGTCATCACCCTTGAGCACACACCTGCTACTGCCCTTTGCACAGTCGCCCAGGTGCTGTGTGAAATCTTGCACTGCTGCTGCAACAACTTGCTAAGGTCCCATGCCTTTGGGGTTTCTACAGTACATACAACATGAGGTTCCAGCATGGATCACGACCCACTCTCGCTCCACAGCCTATTTCTGTGTCACCAAGCACTGCTGGAGGAGGTTCAACAACCCTTTCCCTCGCTTCTTCTTCGCTCCTTGTACACTCCCCACGATGGCATTTCTCGACTTTCTTTTCCACCAAAAGCCCACTGTCTCCATCTCCCTTCACTGTCCCACCCCAGCCCCACCCCCATAGATGTAATTAACGCCTTTGATGCCTTCTTCACAGCAAAGATCAAAATGAGCTGACTTAGTTTGCAAACGCTTATCTCTGGCTTAACACATCTGCCTTTATGTTTGACATCTTTACCTTGCCTCTTGTGAACAGGGAGAGGTGCTTTCCCACCTGAGTCATAAACCTCAGTTCCTAAGGGACCATCCTTCCACATTTTCTCAAACTAGGGCAGGTCTCTCAGTCTCCTTGCTACTGACATTTTGGTCTAGATAATTCTTCATTATGAGGCTGTTGTGTGCTTTTTTGATATTTAGCAACAACCTCAGTGTCCACCTACTAGATGCCGGTAGTATCTCCCTTCACCACCACCCTGTTGTGATAACGAAAGTGTCTCCATACATTGTTAAATGTCCCCTAATAATTCTAGTAGGCAGAATCCCCCCATTTGAGAACTGCTATGTCAGAGGTAAGGAGCAGTTACTGGTGACAGTAAGTAAAGAGATGTGTATGGCTGTGTTCCAACGAGCTTTTATTTACAAAAATTGTGACAGCCAGATTTGGCTGTGGGCCATAGTTTGCCAACCTGTGCTCCAAAACAAAGAACAGGCATCCAAAACTTGTGAAGACTAACGGAGGAGACACTACTTCATTATTCCCAACTGCAGAATGTTCATTTTAATTAAATATTTTCTAAATGGCTTGTCGAATGGCCATCAACTTTTGGCTTCCCACATAACTTGGTTTATCTTTTCTTCCTCAACCAAAATTATCTTCTGTTTAAAAGCCAGTTATAAAATTAGCCATGTCAGGGAACTTTTCTTTATTAGCCCTCACTTACACTTCACTTCCTTTCACGTGGTTTGTATAATTATTTACATACATCTATTAGTGTTTATGACAAGAAAGCATTAGCTCTGGATCGCATGATGAACTCCACCAGGAAACTTTTCCGATGTTGTGACACAGAGAGTTCTCAGCAAGGTGGTTTGCACCTGGGCCAGGTGGGGCAGAGTGAGACAGTGAGGTGCCCCTGAAGGTGCAAAGGTGAAGGAGGCCCACACTCTCAAGGTCAGGTAAATGCAGGGTCAGGCTTAAAATGGGGAGCCTCCTTAATGTGTGCCTTGGGCGCCTCACTCGCTTCACCCTAGTCCAGGCCCTGCTCCAGGGGGCCTCAACATACTAGAAAATGATTGTTAGTGAGTAGGACATCAACATGCAAGCTCAGGACAAAGGCTAGGCTCGCTTAAAGAAAGCTCCTGCTCCCTCCCAGGGAAGTCCTGGCTGGAAAGCATATAGCAGAGTCTTCATGTGTTACCACCCTAAGGATGGATCCAGCCTTGCAACAAAAAAGGGGAGTTGGGGGTACTCAGGCTCTCCAGGACAGAAAAAAGGTAGGAACAAAGCTTCCACTGCCCTTGCCCAGTTTCCATCTAACCCCATCGCAGTGCCCCAGGACCAAAGGGGCTGGCCCTACTCTGCTTCTCGTCTTCCTGCCGCTGTCCCTCTGCTGTATTTCCCGTCCTCTGCTTTGTTCTCCAAAAGTCAGAAGATGAGATCTGGTTAGAGGATGAGGAGACACCCCCCTCCCCCTTTGACTGTTCGCAAGAATCAAACGCTGATTTGTCCGTGTCCCTGCAAGAGAATACCACCCTGAAGCTGCTCTGGAAGACCCTATTTTCCCAGCTGAGTCTCTGTGGTTCCCACTAGCCCAGAAACTACATGACAGTGAGCTCTTCCTCAGTCCCTCATTTCTAAATGCATTGGCACTGCTTACACTCACCAGGGTTGGGCCCATACCTTTGTGTGCATTTTATACACTCGCTGCCTAATCGCTTTGCTTACCTTAAGTAATTTTATGTAGCAACTCTTCTTTGAGAATCTATGCTACAGAAGGACACATTTAATAAAAAGATAGAGAGTTAAAGATCTCTATACTTACAAACTTCCAAAAAGGAAAGGATAGAAACAAACACTCTAGTTTACAGCACGATCTCAAGTGTTTACTAGTGTCTGCCTTTGCACACCACTGTGAATAGTGGCGGTTTATCAGTAAAGACGAAAACTGATACATAAGGAACACCCACAAAAAGCCAGGCACTCAGTGAGGGGCTTCATGTGTTATTATACAGTAATTCTGTCAGGGAAGTGGTCTGACCCCTTTTGGAGATGAGAAAACTGAGGCTACAAGGTTTAAAGTGACTTGTCCATGACCACGCACCGAGTAGGTTATGGAGCCAGCAGGTGAGCTGAGGTCTGTCAGATCTGAAGCCTTGCACCCTGCCATTTCCAAGGTTGTATAAACATTCAGAAAAACTTACCGTGTAGTAGTCATACCAGCGGGCATTAGGGAAATATGCAGTGACTGTTTCAGCATTCTGAAAGTAAGCACAAATGAGGGGTGGCGTTGGGCACTGTCACCAAGAGCAGAGCAGCCAAAGTGCACGGGAAAGGGGTTAAAGCAATAGCCATAGCCTTGGACCCACTCCTCTCAGAGGCCATCCATGCTGGAGAAGCCTTCCTTCCCTTCCCACTTTTCAAACAGGGGAGATTTGCCCACCCATGCCAAGTGGTTTCCATAAAGCTCTTTGGGATCCAGGACTTTGGGAAAATATCTGATTTGCTTATAGAGTTACCCCATATCCTCTCTAAAAAGAGACAAGCAATCAAGGTTGGGTCTGAAATAGAAGAAAACTTTGTAAATACAGTAAGATTTGGGGATGGTGCAATTAGCTGGTATTTTAATCAGAAGCCTAATCATCAACAGAGGAAGTAAAGAAATGGCTTTTGCTGCCTGGCCAACCTCTTGTAGAGCAAGGGAAGAGCTAGCCAGAGCAACAAGATCCATACAGTGCTGCAAGTAATTCTCCTGCAAAGTTTTGTTTTAATGGTGATAAAGGATTGTTGTAAATTCTTTACCCTGCTGCTTCCACCTGACTCTGTACTCCTCATTTTAGTTAATGGGGAAATAATTGTATCTTCAAATATATGATAAGGTTGTTTGGTTTTTTTCCTTGCTTGTCCTATGAACCAGAATTGTTAGGCTGATTTTAAAGATGCGGGGGCTGAGGTCCAGAATACCCAAGTGAAGGACTTCAGCTCAGAAGGACAGAAAGAGACAGAAGTGGAATAAAAAGCCACATCTCAGGACTCGCCCAGACCGGCCTCTTCTCCTCGCCCTGTGCACCAGCCTCACGGCTGGGATCCTCCCCCATCAGAGGCCTCCACACTCACAGGCTCCAGGACAGGGCTGACCAGGAAGGCTGGGCCCAGCAGGAACTGATCATCTATGTCCCAGGTCACCTGGTCTGACACAAACCTGGAAAAGGAAATGGAGGTGCCACAATCAGAGCCCCAACAGGGCCCCAGCCTAAGGCTCTGAAGAAACTCCCCAAATTCAGATCCAAGTGAGAAATCCAGTTGCATCCTATGCCATCCTTTACTCTTTGCCTACATCTAGCTCAGTCAGGAACAGACAGCCCCCACTTTCTACATGTGATGCTCTTTACACTTCAGAAATGGTTGGATTTAGATACGTTCTCTCCTACAAGATATTTCTACATTTCTTAACTGTGGCAAATTTTAAATGCAAGAACAGCTCACATCCCTCAATCTCCCTCTGGAATACCTTCCTTTGTGACCTGAGCTCATTTTGGCCTGGGTCCACATAACCAAACATTACAAAAAATAGGCAGGCTTTTGCACCATCAAATTAGAAAGAAATGATTCTGTGCTATGTCGTATCTTTTCAAATTTTTTTTTCATTCAATAAACAGCCCTTCATCAATGACCTATGGCATGTATAACACTGTTGCTAAAAGGAATAATACAATATCGTCTGTGCTGTGGAGCTTATGACAAAGAGCAAGCATGTCTTTATGTTGGAATCAACTGCCACCTGTAGAACAAAATATCCATCAGTCATCAGGATCCCACTAGCCACTCACTCATGGAGAAGAGGCCGCACAACGGTGATGCCCTCCATGTGGGCCCTATGCATCAAGGTGTAGAGATACGGCAACAGGGTGTATCTGGTTTGCAGGACACTTTTGGAAATATTAACAAAGGTATCATTCCAGGATACAGGGTCTTGTCTCTAAAGGAGAAAAAGAGGAGTCTTCAGAGCTCACCCTAGGGGATCTAGGGGACTTAAGGAAGTCACTGAAAGCTTACTCCAAATGAAGATCACACATAGCTAAGCTAAAGATAATTATAGATTGGACTCAGAGAATATTCTCTTTTTTTGTTTGTTTTTTTGTTTTTTGGTGGCTGGCCGGTAAGGACATCTGAACCCTTGCCCTTGGTGTTACCCTCACCACACTTGAACCATGTGAGCTAACCAGCCAGCCTTTCAGAGAATATTCCTCATTGACTGGAAAAGGTTACTGAAGCTCTCCCAGGACAGCTGAAAAATTTTCCCCATGAGACAATATTTTGGGGGTATGTTTGATATGATTCTGCCTAAACAAAAAGAATAATCTGTACTGAGGAATATGGTTCATTGAGACAGAAGGGTTGAATGATTTCGAAGATGTTCCCAGAGAATGCAGACTGCTTTAACTGCAGCTCACAGACAGAGGCTGCATTTCGAGTGGCACAGAACACTTGTGGTAGGGGTGACATCCTACCTTGTTCCCCTCGCTGTTGTGGTTCCTTGAGAAGGGGTAAAATGCGCCCAGCTGCATCCAGCGAGCACACATCTCATATTCAGCATCTTGAAAGAACCCACAGATATCTGCTCCTGTCTGTGACAAGAGGGAAGAAAATGAGCCTGTTGATGACTTCCAAAAGATACTGCCATCTTCCTGATGATTAGGAGGGACCCATAGGTCACTTACATAGGATATGCCAAAGAGGCTGAACTCCATCATTCCTGCAAGGAAGACCACAACTGTGTCAGACGACTGCCTGCACCCTGCCTCAGCCTCCCTCCTTCACCAGCGACCCTGACTCCTTCCCCCCAGCAGAGGCCCCTGCGAAAAAGCCCACACACCAATGATGGATTTCTTCAGCTGGTCCCATGTGGCCGTGTTGTCTCCCAGCCAGTGTCCTGCCCAGCGGCCAGAAGAGGGGAATGTGGAGCGACTGATGATGATTCCTCGCTGTCCTGTCACCTCCTGCATAGCTCTGGTTGGAGGAGAACGAGGAGATGAGTTGAGGAAATGCCATAGAGCGTCTCCTCCAGAGCACCAGAGCCCAGGGCATGGTGACAGAATGTTTGCTGCATGATTGGAGGGGACATGGAAATCTGAGCTATAATGAGGCCCCCTTGACTGATCCCAGACGATGGAGATAATAACGGTCATGCCTTTTCACAGTGTTTTACAAAGAACTTTGCCATGTACTAAACTCACTGGATTGCCCCAAAAAGTAAGTCATCACTAAATCTTGCTATTGATTTACTCAATACTTGGTATTCTATATTTCAGGAGGAAGAGGGTGAATTTCTTTGTAAGATTTTGCTTAGGATAATTCACAGTATTCACTGAGTTTACAAAATGGGACTGTGTGAATTCAGTAGAACATCTGCTGACTATCCAACTAGAACAATCCCCCTCCCCTACCAAAAAAAATAAAAATCCCAGTAGAGATGATTCACTTCTAAAATAAAGGAGAGAGATGCCCAGTCCTGTTCACTTCTCCTTTTGTAACTAAAGCTGTCATAGCACCAGCTGCACTAGCTAATAATTACTGGTGTCTCCACGTGTGTCTCCCCACTTGGACTATTAGTCTCTCATAGGTGGGACCACTCCTTATTTAAATCTGTCCTCTTGATTAAGATCACAGGGCCTGACTCCATACTCAGTGAGTGTTTTTTTAATAAGTAAGAATTGCTACATAGTTGTACAAATTAAAATATTCTTAATCCTTGGAACAGGGAAGAAAAGGGAAAGCAGGGCAGCTGTCAGTCACTGGCTGTCCCTGCAGGTCATGCCAACTGGAGAAGGGAGGCAACAACTCACTCGTATGTGGGTCTGGTCTGGGACCACCCGTACAGGCTGTGCACGTCATAGTGCCGCACCGGGGTGCCATCTGGCAGGATCTGCTGGCTCTCCATGCACAGGGTCTTGCTGCTCAGGCCATCGCTTCTGGACTCCAGATCTGAGGAGAAAGATCTAGCAACATGAAAACCAGCCCTGATCCTGTTTGCTCTTGACCTCTCTTCAAGGGATTGGACTCTGGATCTTAAGACTGACTTGAGCCTTGCATAGGCCCCTTTCCTCCTTCCCAGGGGCATGGGAATATGCTCGACTCTGAGCTGCAATGGTGCCTGCAGGTATCTTCAACATCAATTTTGCTGTAGAAAGCAGAGGCCAGAGAAAGAACGCCCAGTTTTTGAATACTTACTACATGACAGGCTCATATCTAGGCTTTTAATGTGCAAATTGTTTCACGTGATTCTTATAATTCTGTGAAGAAGATATCATTATCTGCCTTTTACTGTTCAGAAAACTGAAATTTGGAAACATCGAGTAATCTGTGGAAGGGCACACAACTCACAGAGATAATAATTTCTGGAGCTGAGATATGAACACAAGTATAACTCCAAAGTTCATCAACTCCATGATAAGGGGAAGCCACTATTTTCCACCCATTGGTGATACAACAAATTCCTGCAGAGGAATTAACACAAGCCCGAAGAACTGGGAAATCTAGCTGTGATAATCCTTTGGAGACATTACCACTGTGAAGTGCTTTCCGGACAAATTTGAGAGATTCACCCAATGGGTCCAGTAACTTGCATACACCCACTGGGTAAAGTGCTTTTGTCTCCAGCCCTCAATAAGCCACAGCAACAATGAGGATGTGCCCTGAGCTGTCAGGACAAACCCTTGGCCTCTAGTCTCTTGCAGTGGTCAACTTCCTAGCCATGGCTCTGCCAGTAGAGGTGGCCAAGGGTCCTTACGTGGCATGTAGGGAGGATGGTTCAGAGAGGCATTCCTGCAGCCTGGAGGAACCGCCCCATTCACAAAGTTTGCCGGCTCATTCATATCCTAGAAATAACAAACACAGACATAGAGTACTTTGTAAGACAATTACATACTGTCAATTCAGAGACAAGCAAGTAGTGAGTAGATCATTCTACCAGTCCAGGAAGGCTCATTCAATCCTGTTGAGAAGTGGCTAGAAAGATAATTAATCCTACAGAATGACTGACCTGAGGGTTAAAGAAAAAAAAAGTCTCCCTCAGGGTGTGAGTCAAGCAAAGTTCCAAAGAGTTCCTGGTTATCGCTTTGGAGGTTTTATTGTGGGAACTTCAGGCGGGGTACGAGGTCTGAGTGTTATCAGGGTTGCTCCACTCCCAATCAGAGGAAGTACAGTCTGATATGACCAAAGTCTTACTTGGGTGATTATTATCCTCTTGACTGAAGGTCAGTGATAAATTGCTTAGACACACAAAGATAGACATGCACCTGTCCATGTACACACATATACACACATACTTACAATCCACATGCCATCAAACTTCAGGCTCTTCTCTGGATTCTCCGTATTGGTGTACATTTCTTCCATCTCCCTCTTCCACCACGTGACAGTTGAATTACGGAAAAAGTCTGGGAAGGCCGCATAAGCTCGGTATTGCTATAAAAATTAAATACAATTCATTTGTCTCAAACAAATATATTAGACAGCCCTTATTGAGAACTTAACTCATTCAAAGGCTTGTACTACATGGTGATAGATTGTCTGAACAGAGCCTAAACAATGTTCTTGGCTTATTAGAAAAACATTGAGTGCAAAGAAGAGAAATCAGTGCAAATTACACACCTCAGCAGTTGGAAAACATCCATAGACTGTTTTCCTCTTGGTATTAACTTGAATGGTAACAATCAACACCCTGAACTCACTATCTCACGTGTTGGATGTCCAACCCCCACCTCTGCCCTGCCATCTCCTAAGCACCCCTCAAAGACAAGGACTGCTCTTGGAAGGGCAGACATCAGATGCACTGTAAGACATTGGGAAGAAACAGCAGTGATCCTCCTGTGTCAATCCCACTGTAAAATTGGGACAAGGAGTAAGATTACATTTCATCATATTTGACTGGCATGCATCTGTGTTTTCTATGGTTTCAGAATCCCATGAAAGCTGCAGTTGTGTGTAATGAAAATTGAGAGCACTTAAAGAGTATGCTTCAACCTCCCCTTCTCTTTATTTTCCCTCAAATAATAAAAGCAATGTCTTTATTTTAACCTGAAAGGTGGATTTAAAATATAAGTTCTTAATTGTATTGTAAACGTTTTGAGAGCAAGAACCTGTTTTCTGTTTTTTTCAGTGATCTTTATATTCCCCACAATGCTCAGCTTAGAACCTAACATAAAATAAATATTCAGTGTTTCACTGTGGATTCACACCCCTTAGCATCAGCAAAGATCCATAAATTTCCACATACTCCTTTCTACTTGTCACAGAAAGTCATGGTCCTTTGTGTGTCTTGGTATATACCCTTTTCTATGTTCATCACTGGTTTTTAGAGTTGAAGAGCTAAATAATGCTGGTTGTGAGGGCAGGGAGAAAAACAGAAAGAGAACTTGGTCTAGAGGACTCCAGCTCTTAAACACAACAGACAAAAGGCAAGTAGGAACCTATACATCTAGATAAAAGGCAACAAAGGAACACAAAGAAGAAAGTAGAAACAGATCAGCATACATGGGTCTGGTCACAGAGAAGAGAGGGCACTGAACTGCATCACTAAGAATCTTGACAGGAGGCATGCCAGGGATGTTTTTTGTTAGGAAATGGAGGTAGAAACCAATGGAACCAGGAGAAGAGAACTTTTCACTGAAAACAGAGCTCCAGCTCAGACAGGGTTAGAAACAATGGATGGGGTGTGTGGATGGACGATTGGAATACATAGTCAATATTAGCCACATCTGAGTCAGGATTGTATCCCATGTGGGATACAAGTGGGAACTTTGGCCAACCATGAGTTACTAACCCCACCAAATGCTGCTCTGATGATCCTTACCCATGTGATGAAAATGTTCTACCCTTCTCCAAGGTGCCAGTGCTGCCTCACTCCTTCCTGTATTCAACTTTTGTCTCACTGCTTCTTCCCTCGCCTCCCCTGATCTTCAACCACTGGACGTCTGGCCCCAGGATGCAATTCCTGAACCCCACTCCAGACTTACTGAACTCAATCTCTGAGCTTCAGACTTAGAAATCTGTTTTCCGTAGGCTTCTTGGCTGTTTCTCTTTTTGTTTTATGCTACCCTCAGCGAGGCCTGACCTGGACATCAGTAGCCTTATCCCCACCAGTCACATCAAGTGGATCTTACTAATATAAATAGTTATAATTATTCAGTGTACCCTTTCTTAAGAGTTGCATAATAGATTTTGTGATCCCTTAATGAAGTGCTTCTCATCAGGGGCACAATTGGTATTTGAGGCAAAAGAATTCTTTGTGGAGAATACCCCACAATTATAGCTATGGGCAGCCCAGGTCTCTGCCCACTAAATGCCACTTGGTGCTCCCCAGGATGATAAGCAACACACTGATTTCTGAACACTCCCAACGTGGCAGTATTGCCCCTAATGGCCGATCAGCTGTGGGACTCATAAGGTAGTAGCCAACCCCTTGATTGCTGAAGTGACCCCTCTACCAGCATAAAGATTAAAAAGTCAGGTTCACAACCCTGAAATTCTCTGGCTTGGCTAGTCCCTGTGTTCATGCCAGCTGCCTGGATCACTAATCTTCAAGTGATCCTCTGTCAGAAGTGACAGAGAGAACAGGAATTTAGCCAGGTCGATAGATAGATAGATAGATAGATAGATAGATAGATAGATAGATAGATAGTCAATCAGATAGACAAACAGACAGATAGGTAGATAGACAGACAGACAGAACAGATAGATAGACAGACAGACAGATAGACAGATATACCTGTTCAGTAGTAAATGGAAAACAACCTTACATAGAGTCTGACTCATTCTTATCAGTCTTTGAAACCTTTCCCAGCTGGCGTCTGTTTTTTCTAGTGCATGTACTGCCAGAAAATAAAGATACACAGCCCAGTGCAATAGCTAAGCAGCCTGGTCCCAATTGTGCATATATCTCACTTTGCAACTAGAGTACTATTGTTGCCAACTGGATCTGGGATCCAGGATGTCAGAGACTAACTCTAGGCAACTGCATCACTGGCTTGCAAGGCTGTCTATTATGACTACACTATCAGAGCTGTTCCAGTCCTGGGCCCTGTATCTCCAGACTATGCCAGTTCTGTCTGTTATCTGTCTTCCCCTCTAGGACTACCATTTTCCCTGAAAACCAGCTTATCTGGATAAGGCATAAATATTTGGCTTAAATCCCACCAGTCACATTGCTGGTGACCAGAATCTTTCTTCTGTACCACTACAGAATCCCTACATTACATGTAAAAAGCTCTCCACAGGGGTATTTGCCCCTGTGCTTCTGAGTGGCTGATACCTGAATTCACAACTGCTCTGCTTTGTTTGAACGATACTGATATTTACAATTAATACTTGAACCTGATAGAGTTTTTAGGCACTGTAACTTGAAATACCTTGCTGACCACACAGAGGCCAGCTTCTTTGTTTCCTCAACCCTTGGCCCTGGGAAATAAGCCTTTTCTTTGTGTTCCTAACTCATCTATGGAGGTCACATAGGTTACATGTGCCCTGCTACAATTCCTGTCCAGAAAGACTAGTCATTGTTGAAGAAGAGCTAAAGCAGGTAAGGCAGGCTACATGCTCTCCAGGACAGTCCCTGCCCCAACCTGAGAACCCTGCTCGTAGGTATTACTGATGACAAAGCACACAGGCTGCATCAGTTCACTGGGCACATATCTTGGCCAGAGAATGGGGCTGAAGGTTTCCTGGACCAGTAAGGAACCGTGCATTCACTCAAGCAACAAATGCTTAGTGAATTTGGGAAAAATTCAGGTCCAGAAGTATGGTTTACCTGGATCCATTACAAGCAAGAAACTGTTCCCTGGAGAGAGCAAGTTTTAACACAAGGCTGGAAATGAGAGGTAAAAGCAAAGTTGAGAAACCCAAGGAAAGACCCAATCACTAAAGTCAAGGGTTGGAAATTTTGTTTAAAAGGGATATCCAAGGCATTGCCACCAACAGTAACGAGTATACTAATTAAGAGAAAAGATAGTACTTCTTAGAGGTATCATGAAGTGGAAACTCATAGGCCTTTGGAATCTGACATCCTTGGACTTGAAATCACCATTCTGTCACCTAAAATCATGGACAAGTAATTTAAGCTCTCTGAGCCTTAAATCCCAAGGAAAATAATACTGATGTCCCAGCTGGGAGTAAAATATTACGCTAAAGTAACTGGCACATAGACTGACACTGAGAACACATTTACTAAGTGCCTCTCCCTTGTCATGCCCACGTCCATGGTATGTGCATGTCCAATATCTTGGGTATGGCTGTCCCTTCCAAGCAACCCTGGCTTCACCCAACATCCACCAAGAGCCCTTTACCTCCACTTGACTGTCCCAGTCTAGAGAATTGTTAACGAAAACATCAGGGTAATCAGGCCAGACCTGTGGAGAGAAAAACATTCAACAGCAGTGCACTAGACAATTTATTTCCCTTATATGGTATTTTCTCAGAAACTATAAACCATCATCTTAGGAGTGACAATATTTTGATTCTCGTGTATGACTGATCTAGAGAAAAGTGAGTTCCACAATTCATCTCTATTACTTAAAAAGTCCTTAACTGTATCGTCAAATATTGAATGAGAAAATGACAACTTCTCATCTCAGAACTCAAAAGGAAGAGGCCAAAAAACAACGTGCATAAACACACCAACAGTGGGACCCACCCCCAAGGTGGGGATTAGTGGATCACCAGTCAGATTATACCTTTCCCCAGACAATGTCTTCACTATCTGGATATTTGATGAAGACATCCTCCTCCACACCCCGAGTGAAGGGAGGATACGGCTGTGTCTCATTGCCAGAAATGGCTGGATCCTGAAATCAAAGCACAAGGCAGGTGGGAAAACCAAAACAGAGAAGGACGAAGCACAGAAAAATGAACTCCTCAAGAGGGAATTTTCTAGCTTCCACCTGAACAGTAGAGTTCCTGTGAATCTTGGTAAATACACTTCTCTTACTGCACTTCAATCTCACTACTTGTAAGATGGAAAGACAATACAGTAAAAGGCTTTCTCCACCAAAGCCCATTCATTTTCCCAAATAGACTCCACACATTCACATAAGGACTAACCAGAATGAGGATGACCCGCATGCCATCGGCCTTCAAGCGATCGATCAGAGCTGGAAGTCCAGCAAACTCGGGGCTAAGGGTGAAATCCAGCTGCCGCTCCATGTAGTCGATGTCTGAGTACTGCACATCCTGGGGGGATACAGGAAACTGAGAAGATGCTGGTTGTGCAAGTCTGGACCCCACAGGAGAACAGCCCTCTACCACCTGATGGTGAATTTCAGATGGCTTCTTTCTGACTCTTTGAAATCCCAGCTTGGTGATTTGTTAAGTATGAATCCTGGGAAATTCACTTAATTTTTCAAATTTTCAGCCATAAAATATGGGGTAAAAAACCCAACTAAGTCAGCAGAAAATAGAATGATAATGCTATCTGGCAGGGCTGTTGTGAAGATAAATAAAAATACCAGATGAGAAAGTGATTTGAAACAGAGCATTATAAGGAGTGACTGTGGTTACCTCCCCCAAGAGGCTGCCCCTGGTGTCACTGGTTCATGTTCAGAGAAAATAATGTTAACTATCCAGTACTAATACAACATGGACAGTAAATCTACTACAAAACAAAGCAAAAACCTGTGATTGCTTCGGAATATCCAATGTTGAGGGTAATGAGACACAGTTTTCTTAGTAAGAATGGGCACTATTCACAATAGCCAAGATACAAAATCAAACTAAGTGTTCATTAACAGATGAGCAAATGAAGAAAATGTGGTTTATATACACAGTGGAATACTACTCAGCCATAAAAAAGGAATGAAGTCCTGTCGTTCACCACAACATGAATGAGCTTGGAGGATATTATGGTAAGGGAAGTAAGCCAGAAACAGAAAGAGAAATACTGCATATTCTTACTTATATGTGGAAGCCAAGAAAGTTGATCACATAGAAGTAAAGAGTAGAATGGGGGTTACCAGAGGTTGGCAAGGGAGAGTGGATAGTGAGAGGTTGGTTAATGATACAAAAGTGCAGCTACATAGGAGAAATAATATCATAATATCTAGCGTTCTACAGCACTGTAGGGTGACTATAATTAACAACAATTTATTGTTTAGTTTTAGTTAGCTAGAAGAGAGTACTTTGAATATTCCCAACACAAAGAAATGATAAATACTTGAGGTGATGAGGAAAAAAAAATCAGTGTTTGCCAGGGTTTCAGGAGAGGAAGGAGAGAGGAGAGATGAATAGGTACAGCACAGAGGATTTTTAGGGCAGTGGAACTATTCCATATGACACTGCCATGGTGAATACATGACACTATGCATTTGGCAAAACCCATAGAACTGTACAACACAAAGAGGGAACCCTAATGTAAAACCGAGTTAATAACAATATATAGATATTAGTTCATAATTGTAACAAACGTACTACACTAATGAAACATGTTAATAAAATCAGAAACTGTGTTATGTGTTGAGGAGGGAGGGGGTGTGGGAACTATCTGTAAAAAAAAAAGTAAGTAAATATAAATATAAAATTTTTAAAAAGAATGAAATATCTCACGATGTACTTTCCATTAGTGAAACAATTATAAACAATAGAAAAGTAAGTCAAATGAAATTAAATATGTAAGTTGTTCACAGGATCAGTTAGAATCCACCTGTTCTCAGTGAAGGGTAGAGTTGGTTTCTATATGTAGTTCCTCTGGTAACAAGTCCCAGGATCCCTACATTCAACCAGTGATTAGCTCCAAGCTGATGGAACACTGTGCTGCAGAACCAGTGAAGTGTTGGAACTGAAATCAAATCTACAAGTAACATGGTTGAACTAAATTTGGTTAACTTTTTTTAATTAAACAAAACTACTGTTAAGGGGCTCTTTTACTCTTATGGAACCAAGGATTTTTTGGCTAAATGATTTGAAGTCATCTAAAAGAAATGCAAAGAAGCATGATATAGCAGAAAGAGTTGGAGTTAGTCCTCTTTCCTCCTCCTCTGGCAAATCACTGTGTCTCCTTTGAGCTACCATCTTTCTAAGATGGGGATAAGGACCCACACCCGCATCACTGTGTTGGGGTAGGCTCAGTGTGATATTGTATGAGAAAACACTTCATATCTTTATAGGGCTCACAAAAATCAGACACACAAATCCAGACACAGAGACACCTGGGCTAGCAATGAGGTCCCAGAGCCAGTACACCACAACTGAGAACGCACATAAGGGATCTGGTGGGCCACCATCTCATCGTACAAGCTGGCAATCTCAGTGTCATTCCGGTATCCATAGCGACACAGCTGGAACCCCAAGGCCCAATAAGGTACCATCACAGGCCGACCAATCACCTAGAAAATAGGCAAAAATATTAGTCTTCAAACAAACTGGATTGAAGTTGTACATGAAGTAATAAGACTATTTTTCCATGACCCAAGCTAGACAATCAACAAATTCAAATACAGAAACTGAGGGGATGCAGAGCCACAGGGATACCTCGGAGAAAGGATACCAGACTTGATCTACTTCTCTAGGAATTCTGGAATATCCATTTCACTCTGATTCCTAGAGGTGGGCTAGCTTATTGGTTAAGAGCACAGAATCCAGAGGAAAAATGCCTAGGTTAGCAGCCAGGCTCCAGTCCCTGCTACAAGTGTGATCTTGAGCAAAAGTTAAATAGCCTTTTTGTGTTTCAGTTTCTTCACCTGTGAATTGGGTGTAGTAGTATCTGCCTCACTGTTTTTGTGAGGGTTGGATGAGTTAATATATGCAAAGTGTTCTGACATACAACAAGTAATAAATAAGTGACACACAGTAAGTTTCTTTTTTTTTTTTTTTTTTTTTTTCCGTATCCAGCAACGGATC